AATGTTCCACATCAGTGTACCTCGGCTCTTGGGGTTTGTAGGAGCTGGGAGTCATCCCCAACTCGTAACTCTTCCTATCTTGTGTTCTAAGACAATAGTGGCTGCCGTAGTGCCGTTCGTTCAAACCAGCGCTGTGTCATCAATATTTGGTGAAATCGTGCGGTCTAAATTGCCTATTGTAGGCGACTTAAAGACGCTCCAGATCCAAGTTGAATCAGGTCATTTGAAGTGTGAAAAGAACGATATGAATGTTTAAATCCGATGTGCAGAAATCCGACTGTGCACTCTATCTTTCGTTTTAGGCACATTGAAGCCTACTGTGACTATAACATTAACTGCACCAATCTCCATGGGCGATGGTCCGTCCCTCAATCGAGCGTCATTGATCAGTCTGATGTATCCCCTATCGCGATCGTCACAACCCCGTCGGCTTCATTCTGCGTCGTCGCATTTTGCTGCTGCGACAACTGACTCGAAGGTGGACAACCCGTGAATCGCTATATTCTCCGCTATGTCCGGCTTCAACCCTTCGAGATAGCGATCGCGCATCTATTTTGTTGCAGATGCTCAAGAATTGTTGTGTATACTCTTGGACGTTCACTATCGGTCGAAAATGACGCAGACGCTTCCTAGCAGCTTCGGAGGCGTACACCAAATCAAACCTACTTTTCAGCACTGCTTCAAATCCTTCCCATGTCGTCGGAACCATAGTAACACCCAAAGCTAAACTCGCTAGGCTCGAAGTTGCAGCTGCATGCCCCACGCCCCGTTGATGCCTGTCTAACTGAGCCCTTCGTACAGCAGGCTGCGTAAGTTGGCGCCACCACTCCAAGGCGGGCCCCTCAGCAGCGTAACGAAGTACTCAGTCCGCTGCTGCCCGTTCGCCTCTTGCACCTCGCTTGCGGTTAAGTAGATGTTGAGCATGAAAAGCCACGTCCGCACGTTTGCGTCGCGTTCACTTGGGTCGAACGACTCAGGTTTTTGCGGCTTGAGTATGCTTCAACGTCCCGGCAGCGCTTCCGCGCCAGTTGACGTAGTGGGTGCAGGGGTTAGTGCGGCAAGGCCATGAGGGCTAGAAGCCAATTTGCGTAGCTGTTGCATTTCTTCTCGTACCTGACGATTTTCCAGCGTGAACTCTTCGAGTTGGCGCATGAGCTTGGCAAGCGTATAGCCCATGTCGTGGGGGAAAGCGTTCATGGATTCGTCCATGTTCGCTCGACGACTCCAAGTCTGCAAGTCGGCGCCACGAGACGTTGACGGTCGCTCGTTGGAAGTCGCTCCCTGCGAAGGCTCTGATACCAAGTGTTAGGCCCCTTGGCCTGAATCCGCTAAAGAATAGTGGGGTCAACTAAGTCAATGATGAAAACGCGGCGGAAGACTTTGGCGAAGAAAGGATTAACGAAATAGGCGAAGAAGTAACTAAGTAATGGCTGAATGAGAATTGGTTGATAATGGGGAATACAAGCAAGGTTGATACAGCATTCAAGATCGAATGATGGAAAGTACGTTGTGGGACTAGAAAGTAGAAGTAAGAATAGTAGAGTGCCACGTGGCACAAGCAAATCAAGGAAGATAAGGATAAGGGTGATTTGGAAAGTACTTTTCAAAGGGAACAGTAAATCCTCCCTTAACAGAAGTGACCTATGTTAACTAATGTATCGCTGGTAATTGCGTAGGCTGTAACCGAGTGCTAAATCATCATCAAACAAGCACGACCTTCAGTATTAGTGCTACCATTGCCCCTGACGACCTCTTTGCAGCTGTGAGCCGCCAACCGCACCCGTCGACGGCGGCGCCTCCTGGATCACCGCCGGCGGATACATTGGCGTCTTCACCTCCGTCTCGGGTAAGCCCGGCTACAAGAGAGGCGCGGGTCTCGCAGACTTGTAGGAATATCTTTCGCATTTTCGTCGATCAGGTCCGCCCAATGATGTGTTTCTGGATTTGACACAGCCCAGAGGTTTGAAAATCGCGGGTGGCTAACCATGACCTCTCGGCGTGCTTTCCCATGTGCCCGTCGTGCTTGTGTAGCGTGGTACGCGTCGTTCGCAGTTCTCTTCAACGGCATGGTGGATCGCGAGTTCATGTACCTCGGCAAGCCGCTCATCAACATCAAGCGGGATTAGATGGCACAAATGACATTATAAATGAGATCCAGCTCGCGCGGATGCGCTTCGCGAGCTTGTTTTGAGATGTTGTGTGCATCACTGCAGTCATATAGTCCAATATGTAAATGTAATGATGCAATGCATTTGCTATGCAAGTAGGCAGGTAAAAAAAGTGTTTGAAGTGACCTATATTTACTAATGTATTGCTGGTAATTGCGTAGGCTGTAACATATCAAATAATCGAGGGCGTGTTTCTACAATCTCTTATCAGACTTGGGTGGTTCAATGCATTTCAGTGCGATCGAATGTGATTACGTGCGTTACAGAGCGGTGCGACGTGAGCCTGACCTAAGGTTTTCCTGATAAGAGGCCGTAGGAACACGCCGTGAGTGCTATTGAAGCTCATCATCAAACAAGTACTTGCTTATGAGAGGAATGGAAGCAGGAAGGTTCAAATAAGAGTTTGAAGTGACCTATGTTAACTAATATGTTGCTTGTGATTGCGTAGCCTGTAACCGAGTGTTATTGTGTGGTGTCTCAAATCATCATCAAACAAGCACGACCTTCAGAAATAGTGCTACCAGTGCCCTGACGGCCTCTTAACAGCTGTGAGCCGCCACCTCGAGGCGCATGTTTTGGAGTCGTTATGTGTACGCCCTAATGATCCTTTTCATCTTGCCCATGGGTGACATCGCTTCATGGTCCAGGTGCAGGGTGTTATTGGTCACAATAGGCTCAAATGTGCCTAAAATAGATGTTGAGTGCATAGACGAATTTCTGCACAGCGGGTTTAAACGTTCACAGCGTTCAGATCATAGCTTTAAATGACATGCTATAACTTGTATCATGTGTGCCCTGACATGAGCTACAATAGGCAATTTAGATCGCACAATTTCATCAAGTATTGACAACGCAACGTCAGTTTGAACGAACAGCACTATGGCAGCCACTTTAGTATTAGAATACAAATTAGGAAGTGTTTCGAGTTGGTGTCAGAACTAGCAGTTAGAAACAAGAATGAAGAAAGGAGGGGGTTTCACTAGCAGCAGTAGGCATACATATATGAAACCCTAATTGGGTTGTACTCGCTATAGAGTACCCCACTGCATGCTAGACAATTATAACATTCTTACGAAACCCCATAGCCAAAGTGGGGTGTAATCAGCACAACAAGCACAGCTAGAGGCATTCACATCGGGCACGTGAGGAGGAGGAGGCTAGACTGTGAGAGGAGAGGAGATGGGAGGTAACGGCTGAAGCTGCAGACACACGGGCAACAGGAGCGGCTGGCACAGTGGCTACCGGGACAGCGCCCCGGACTGTAGGGAGTAACCTGGCTCTGCACGGCAAAAGCAACGGACCCACTGGTGACCGGCGCAGCAGGCTCTCTGGGCTACCAGGAGCAAGACAGGCTCCGGACTACTGGCGCTGCAGGCGACACGACGGCAGCCTCCACGCAACCTCCCCCAACTGTCCGACACCCCTCTTTCACACACCCCTTGCTGTACCCCTAGCTCCACTCCCACGTCATCCCCCTAGCACCACTCCTTTGTCTCCCACACACCCACCCCCCTCAGCGGCAGCTGCAGCAGCGGGAGACGGAGGAGGAGGAGGAGCAGGGGACCGCGCACACCCGCCACCCCCATACCCGTCACCCCCATATCCTGAGCGTGCGGTAAGCGAGCTCAGGTGTGCGCGAAACGTGCACAAGCGTGCGGGAAGCGAACTCGGGTGTGCGGGGAGGGGGGGCCGCAGGGCGACACGCGGGTCGACGGGGACGGGCGCACGGGTCGCCGGGGGCGGCGCGCGGGTCGACGGGGCCGCCGCGAAGGGCGACGAGGAGCTGCGCGCAGGTCAACGGGGCCGCTGTGAAGGGCAACGGGGCCGCCGTGAAGGAAGACGGGGAGCCGGGCGCAGGTCGACGGAACGCGAAACCGCCGGGTGCGCCCGGGGTGCGCGGTGGGCAGGAAACCGCCACGCGTCCCGAGCGCATGGCGGGCAGAAAACCGCCGCGCGCCTCAGGGCGCATGGCGGGCAGAAAACCGCCGCACGCCCCGAGCACACGGCGGGATGAAAAACGCCGCGCACTCCGAGTGCGCGGCAGGAAGAAAGGGTCGCGTGCCCGGGGCGCGCGATAGCAGTAGAGCAACGAAAGCATCGGGTGGGGCCCACCCACAGGATTGACCCAGGAGGGTCGACCTGCTCTGATAGCATGTCAGAACTAGCAGTCAGAAACAGGAATGAAGAAAGGAGGGGGTTGAACTAGCAGCAGTAGGCATACATATATGAAACCCTAATTGGGTTGTACTTGCTATAGAGTACCCCACTGCAGGCTAGACAATTATAAAATTCTGACAGTTGGGAATGACTCCCAGCTCCTAGAAACCCCAAGAGCCGAGGTACGGTGTGTTACAATACTAAGTTAACTAGGAACCGGGTTTAGGGCCTAGGCTTAGTAGCCTAGGCCAAGCGGGTGTCGAGAGAATCGTGGCCAAGAGAAAGTGAGAATGTGTGGAGGTTCACTATAGCACACGAGTACATATAGCAACCTAACAAATGTGAAAGAGGTGCACCACCATTCAAGGGCATTACACAACAGCTACACTACAGGCAGATTATACTAAATAGATATGAATCTATTGTGACACACCCCCTATCTGCCTGAAGTGCATAACCATGTGCAGAGCCCCCCTTGAAGGGGTACACCTGTAAAACCCCATTATAGGGCGTGGGAACACCAGCAAGGGGCCCCCTCTGAAGCTGACAAGCAGCAACCACCAAGCAGCATCTGAACAACCGCGGTGGAACAGGTGCCCGGCTGCGGTTGAACGCCCCGCAGCTGGTGCAAGGTGTGCGAGGAGCACGGGTACGGGTAGCGGGTTCGGGTAGCAACTAGGTGCTGTACGGGACGGGCCGCACGGGGGTGACGAGCAGCACGAGACCGGGAAGCACAGACCGGGTGGGGCACGAGCGAGAACTGACAGCACGGGTGGGGCACCAATGGGTACGGACAGCACGGGTAGGGCACAAACAGGCAGAACGGGGCAGCATGAGCAGAATAGGGCAACACGGGCAGAACGGGGCAGGACACGGGCTGAACGGGGCAACACGGGCGGCTGAACGGGGCAGGACACGGGCTGAACGGGGCAACACGGGCAGAACAGGGCAGAACACGGGCTGAACGGGGCAGGACACGGGCTGAACAAGGCAACATGGGCAGAACAGGGCAGAACACAGGCTGAACGGGGCAGGACACGGGCTGAACGGGGCAACACGGGGACAACGGGGCTGCATAGGAAGAACGGGGCAGGACAAGGGCTGAACGGGGCAACACGGGCACAACGGGGCAGCACGGGCAGAACAGGCAGCACGGGCAGAACGGGGGACACTAGGCGCGGGTAAGACACGGGCAGCAACGGGAGACATGGGTGGGCACGGGCAGTATGACACAGGAACGGGCAGCAACACGGGCAGGATCACAGGCAGAATCACAGGCAAAATCACGGGCGACAACACGGGCAGAATCGCGGTCAGGATCACGGGCAGAATACGGGCAAAATACGGGCAGCACACGGGTATGATCACGGGCACAATCACGGGCAGCAGTACGGGCAGAATCACGGGTTGAACACGGGCAAAATACGGGCAGCACACGGGTATGATCACGGGCACAATCATGGGCAGCAGTACGGGCAGAATCACGGGTGGACAGCAAGGCACGGGCAGCTAGGGATGAGAGGAGGAGGCGGATGATGCTGCAGTTGAAATTTCACCACCCACACCCCTTGAACCTCCCCCCCCACAGCAGCAGCAGCGACGGAGAGAGAGAGGGGAAGGTGAGGCGGCAGTAGCTGCAGATGGATCACCCACCCCCTCAACCTCCCCCTTACATGAGCCGCCAACCCCGCCACTCCTCCTCCCCAGCCGTCCCCTTCGGGCCAACACCACACCTCCTCCCCTTCCCGCTGGATACGGAGCCGGAGATGGGGGTGGGGTGGCAGTTGTTGGTGGGGGGGGGGCGGGATCTGGGGCGGAACGGTGGTCTGGGTGCAGGTACAGGGTTCGGACGGGTCTCGCGGACGGGGGCACGGACGTCGTGTGTGGTACGGATGGCGTACGGGCGACGGGCAGGGTGTGGGGTGCGGGTGGCGCACAGGCGGCGGGCGGGGTGCGGGGTGCGGGTGGCGTATGGGCGACGGGCGGGGTGCTGGGTGCGGGTCGCGGATGATCTGGCACGTGCAATGGCATAGCAGTAGCTTCTCCCGCCACTCCCATCACTCTCCCCACTCCCGCCACTCCCTTCACAGCAGTTGCGAAGTCGACGGGAGGGCGGGCGGGGACCTGGCGACGGGCAGCGGAGTGCGTACGGGTGGCGGGGATCTGGCGACGGGCAGCAGTGCGACGGGAGGGGCGTCGGGCTGCAGCAAGACAAGGGCGGGTGCCAATCGACGAGGCAGTTGACGGGACGTGACGTGACGGGCGGCAGCGCAACGGAACGGGTGACGGTCGACGAGGCGGGTGACGGGTGGCAGCGCGACGGGACGGGCGACGGGCTGTAGCAGCGGGTAGCGTGGGGCGACGAGCTGCAGCAGGGCAGCGCGACGAGCTTATCGTCGTGGTGCTCACGATGCGCCCTACGGGCTGCGCGACGGGATGCGCCACAATGAGGGCTAGTTATGGGCCCATGTAAAACGAACGGTCCTAAATCGGACCTAGCTCTATACCATGTTACAATACTAAGTTAACTAGGAACCGGGTTTAGGGCCTAGGCTTAGTAGCCTAGGCCAAGCGGGTGTCGAGAGAATTGTGGCCAAGAGAAAGTGAGAATGTGTGGAGGTTCACTATAGCACACGAGTACATATAGCAACCTAACAAAGGTGAAAGAGGTGCACCACCATTCAAGGGCATTACACAACAGCTACACTACAGGCAGATTATACTAAATAGATATGAATCTATTGTGACACGGTGATGTCGAACAGTGCCACACTATCGCCAACCACGAAGAGTTTCGAAACTACCCTTCACAAGGGCCTGCACGAAGTGAAATGTTAGTGAATGTAGTGTAACCATTTTCACCATCTTGAAGTGTACCCTTTTCGCGGGCTTCGAGATCACTCGAATCTTGAAACCAAGGCTCCGGTTTTTCACCATAAACTAATCCTTGAGTTTTTTATGGGTCTTCTGCACACACTTGCAACACGCAGAACGTTCAACACACGACAAAACAGAAACCGCGCACGAAACACCCGACAAATTAGAAACCGCGCACGGGGCACAAATGACCGCGTGACATGCGACTAGCGATGAATGTCAAACTCATATCATATAGCTTGTCTAGGCTATAGTGGGGTAGACACTATGGGGTACAGTTTCCTAGGGTTTCCTACTTGTACCCAACCTTGTGCTAGTTCCTTCATTCCTCATTCTTCACATGGTATAGAGCAGGTTCCCTCGAAGGAACGCTTCTCAGGGCCCACCAACTAACTCGATCTTTTCTCCAGCCCGAGGCGTGCCCCGTAGGCCGCCCTCACGTCGCGCCCTCCTAGAGGCCCCTCGCGCCACCCTTAGCGGCCCCATCGCCGTCCTTAGCGGCCTTGTCGCCGCCCCTCTAGGCCCCTCATGGCCCATTCACAGCCCTGTTGCCGCTGCTCTAGGCCCCGTCGCTGCCGCCCTAGGCCCCTCGCGGCCCCTTCACGGCCCCGTCGCCGCCGCTCTATGCCCCGTCGCCGCCGCTCTAGGCCCCTTGCGGCCCCTTCACGGCCCCGTCGCTGCCGCTCTAGGCCCCGTCGCCGCCGCTCTAGGCCCCTCGCGGCCCCTTCACGGCCCCGTCGCCGCCCCTCTAGGGCCCGTCGCCGCCCCTATAGGCCCCTCGCGGCCCCTTCACAGCCCCGTCGCCGCCCCTAGCAACCCCGTCGCCGCCACTCTAGGCCCCTCACGGCCCCTTCGCGGCCCCGTCGCCACCACTTGTGGCCCCGTCGCCGCCCCCTCTAGGCCCCTTACGGCCCCTTCGCGGCCTCGTCGCCGCCCCTCTAGGCCCCTTGCGGCCCCTCTGCGGCCCCGTCGCCGCCCCTAGCGGCCCCGTCGCCGCCCCTTCGCGGCCACCTCGCCGCCCTTAGTGGCCCCGTCGCCGCCCCTAGCGGCCCCATCGCCGCCTCTACCGGCCCCGTCGTCGCCTCTACCGGCCCCTTTACTGCTGCACCACCCAGCAGCCGAGCCGCCCAGCAGCCGAGCCGCCCAACAGCCGAGCCGCCGAGCCGCCTAGCAGCCGAGTTGCCGAGCCGCCGAGCCGCCCAGCAACCGAGCCGTCGAGCCGCCCAGCAGCCGAGCCGCCCAACAGTTTAGCCGCCGAGCCGCCCAGCAGCCGAGCCGCCAAGCCGCCCAGCAGCCGAGCCGCCTAGCCGCCCTGCCGTCGAGCCTCTACTGCTCCTACCTACGCGCCCCGACCCTACTTACTCGGATTGGTGAGATCACTCCCTGCTAGGCCACGGCAGTCATGGCTACCCCCAGTGTCCTTACCTTTGATGCTGAGGGTCGTGCTATTGACTTTGAGGTCTGGGTCGATGACCTCCAGCTGTTCCTACAGTGCGATAGGGCAGACGGACTCTCTCTGTTCGATCTCACCTCTGGTGTCTCTCCTGCCCCGCTTGCTACTGCTGACAGCACTGTTCGCTCACAGTGGGCAACACGCGATGCTGATCCCCGCCTTGCTGTGCGTCGCAACTTACCGACCACTGAGCGTGCGCACTTTAGCCAGTACAAGAGTGCTAAGACCTTGTACGACGCTGTAGTTGCACGCTACTCCTCCCCTGCCACTGCTGCGCTTAGCCGCCTCATGCTGCCGTACCTATTCCCTGACCTTGCTGCCTTTCCCACAGTCGCTGACCTCATTACGCACCTTCGCACTAGTGACACTCGCTACCGCGCTGCACTTCCTGCTGAGTTCTGTGCGAAGAAACCCCCCCCCCCCCCCCCCCATGTACATCACCCTCTACTACATAGTCACCCGGCTCCCTGACTCCCTTCGCTTAGTCTGGGACCAATTCCTCTCAGTTTGCCCCACCACACTCACCGTTGACTTCCTCGAGGAGCGCCTCCTAGCAGCAGAGAAGAGCATAGTCGCTGTAGGAGCCTCTCGTGGTGACCCTCGCACCCCCGTCTTTGAGGGGTGTTCCCCCTCCCCCCTCTTGCCCTCGGTTGTTTCGGCTGCTACGGCCAACCTCGTTGGTTTCGAGTCGGTCGGCGCTGCGTCTGCCCCTAGCAGGAGACGCCGCACCGGCAAGGGCAAAGGGGGCAAGGGCGCTGGAGGGGCTGGCGGGGGCGGTGGAGGTGGTGGTGGAGGCAGTGGAGGGGGTGGGGCCGCCTTTGCCGCCAAGCCGCCGAGCCGCCGAGCCGCACTACAGCCGAGGCGCCGCCGCTAGTCGGCCTGCCCGGGTCCGCCTCACTTACCTGGTAAGAGCAGCGCCTCTGCCACTGCACTGCCCTGCCCCACTGTAATCACTGCATGACTACTCCTGTCATGGCCTCCCCTAGTGTTCTCACCTTTGACGCTGAGGGTCGGGCAGTTGACTTTAAGGTCTGGGTAGATGATCTGCAGCTTTTCCTACAGTGCGATAGGGCAGACGGTCTCTCCCTGTTTGACCTCACTTCTAGTGCCTCTCCTACCCCTGCTGCTGATGCTGACGCCACTGTTCGCTCACAGTGGGCCACGCGTGATGCTGCTGCTCGCCTTGCTGTGCGCCGCTACTTACCGACCACTGAGCGTGCACACTTTAGCCAGTACAAGAGTGCTCAGACCTTGTACAACGCTGTAATTGCTCGCTACTCTTCCCCTGCCACTGCTGCACTGAGCCGCCTCATGCTACCGTACCTCTTCCCTGACCTTGCTGCCTTTCCTACAATCGCTGACCTCATTACGCACCTCCGCACTAGTGACACTCGCTACCGCGCTGCGCTTCCTGCTGAGTTCTGCGCCAAGAACCCCCCACCCCCATGTACATCACCCTCTACTACATAGTCACCCGGCTCCCTGACTCTCTCCGCGTAGTTAGGGACCACTTCCTCTCAGTTTGCCCCACCACTCTCACCGTCGACCTCCTCGAGAAGGCCCTCCTAGCATTGAGAAGAGCATAGTTGCTGTAGGAGCCTCTCGTGGTGACCCTCGCACCCCCGTCTTTGAGGGGTGTTCTCCCTCTCCCCTCTTGCCCTCTGTTGCCTCTGCCGCTGCGGCCGACCTCGTTGGTTTTGAGTCGGTCGGCAATGCGTCTGCCCCGAGCGGGAGACGCCGCACCGGCAAGGGCAAGGGGGGCAAGGGCGCTGGAGGGGCTAGCGGGGGCGGTGAAGGTGGTGGTGGAGGTAGTAGAGGGAGTGGGGGTTGTGGTGGGAGTGGTGGCGGGGGTGGAGGTGTCGGTGGCAGCGGTGGAGGCGGTGGAGGCGGCGGCGGTGGCGGAGGGAGCGGAGGCGGCGGAGTCGGCGGAGGCGGCGGAGGTGGCGGAGGCGGCGGAGGTGGCGGAGGCGGCGACGGCAGCGGTGGAGCTGGTCGCGGCTCTGCGCTAAGGAGTGGGTCCGGTGGTGGTCCGCGCCTGCAGCAGCAGCGCAGTCGTGAGACCCTGTCCCCTCAACAGCTTCGTGAGTGGTACGCTGCGCGTCAGCGCGGTGGGGGTACTGGTCCCTGCACC